CCCTACTCTCTCTCAGGTCCTGTGTGTGTGTGTGTGTGTGTGTGTGTGTGTGTGTGTGTGTGACGACGTCAGCGCTCAAAATGAGTCCCGTTGTCCTGGGGAAAATAAAAGTATTTGCTTATTTTTACATGAACAGCGCCCAATTAAAAGTAATTACACTAAAGCTAATTAACAGCTAATTTGCAAATGTTGTCCCCCGGCAGGTAAACAAAAAAACAACCACAGAACAGTAAATACATAAAACAGGACAATACATAAAAGAGAGCTTGCTAGATTTAGCGTCTTCAGTGACTTTATTTCTAAAAACCAACTAGTGACAAAAGTGAAACGGTAAGCAATCTATTTCAATACATTATGTTGTAATGAGAGTAATCAGTCCTCAGCGCCAGGGTCTCTCCCTCTCCTCTTATGCCGTTCAGTCAGTAAGTGTGGCTTGTGGGGAATGTTTGAGCTTCTTTTTTCACGGGATCTCTGGCTTAGGGCGTTCCTATAGTGTATGTGTAAACAGGGAGCTTGAGCTAGTAAATATTTAAAGTTTGTTTGATCTTCTCGCTCCATTTGTACATGTTTTGACTTTAGTTTTCTGCTTCATTTACACAAGGTTCCAGCAGTGAGTTTGGGATTATTTGACTAAATAACAATGTTCAATGTTACGTGTGTGTATGTAAACTTCACTGTATACCGATCAGAAACAGGTTTGCATTTGCTCTGCAGTTTGCAGTGATGCAGTAAGTAAACCCATAACTAAACGAATAATGAAGTACACTGTGGCGAGTCAATGAAGGGAACTGTAATGTAATGTTACAAAGCAGCACAAAGGAAACTAGAAGAGTAGATATTCCAGACTTGGGGATGGAAATGAGGCTTTGTATCTCTCAGGCAACCTACATATTACAACACAAAACACATCACAGAGAAATGAGGGCAAAATCTTTACTGCTTGCTGAGAACTGAAATCCCTCGTCCCATACAGTGAAAAATGGAGAGGCTTCTATTGTATTTGACCTCTTCCTCTCACATGGTTGTCTGTCTGTACAAGGGTGTGTCAAGCACAGCAGAGTCCCGTTAGAGAAGCCAGTCAACGATGCAGCGGGACACGATGTGGCTTGTTCTTTTTGATCGAAGCCTGGTCTAAAGAGGGAGTGTCTGTTTATACCAATCAGTGTGGGAAATTACCCCGAGCCACTGCCAAAACCAGGGGGAATCGTGGTTGGGACGGCTTTAACTTTAAATAGCATATCCATGGTCCACTTTGGCGGGTAACAAAGAAAGATTAAGGTCGCGTTCTGCTCTAAAAGTCTATACAAGATGTTCCTTTCGGAATAAAGAGGTCAAAAAGTGTACTTTAACTTCCCGTAATACTATTGCGCAAAGCTGGAGTCAATCTTGAAAACGTCCTGTCTTTGTGATGTAAACTGGAGACAGTTCCTGCCTGACAATGAAAAACTTTCCATCGGTACAGATGGCGGAAACAAAGGAGACCCAACCTGCATCCAAACGAATAGCAGACCCTCACATTCCCAAACAGTCACTATAAAGGGAACTGCGTTGCTCCGGATATGCTGAGTGTGACAGTGATGCAACAGGCTGAAGGGTGTTTAACTGCTGGAGCATCTGGTAGAAGTGACCAAGTTGTTGACCTCAGCACAGATTTCACCACATCTCTGAAGGAGTCCTAAAGGTTGATCCCCCATCCTAATGGAGTTTATAACAACATTGATAAACCTGCATTGTCCCTAAAGCCTGTAATGACACAATAAACAAAAAGCATTTTAATGTGTTGCACCAGAAATTACAAAAAGGTCAGGCTGAATATTACCGACATTGTTCTTTGCGGTCAAAACTATGCAGAAATTCAGAATGTCTGCCGACTCAGCCGCCGGGGCGCCTGCGTCATTCAGTTTAGTCTGGTGGTAAATACAACATTTACTCTTACTAAGTGCTAAAGCAGCACTCCAAACTCTGTCTGTCACTATCAAACAGAGCAAAAGAACAAAACGTGGCACTTGGCCAGTGTTTATCTCTAGACGAGTGTTATCTACCGGGAAGGTAAATAACTGATGCATATGAACTCAAGACCCTGGTAGCGGATGAATCGGCATATCAGCAACTTTGGGGAATCAAATCTTATTTCTGTCGCCATACAGGAAGCACGACCTCCTGCTTCAAAGAGCAGTGTGACATGGTGCTCACAGGGCTACCGCACTACCACTTTTAAAGATCGCAGTTGTGGGATTAAGTGTGAGGCTTGAAATTGCTGGGTGAGAAAATTGCCGGCCTCGTTATGAGCGCGGTGTCAGGCGAATGTAGGTGTCGTGTAGGTGAATCTGGCAGTAATCAGCGCAGAGAGCAGATCTGTGGGAAAGCAGAGTGGCCTGGCTGCTCCATCTAAACAGAGCACATTCTTGTGTACCGGCAACACGGGAGAAGGACATCTCTCCAAGTAGTGAGTGGAAAGATCTGGCGTGAATCCCAGCGGCATCCAGGTGAACTGTAACCGCACTTACACTCACAACTCTCCGGCAGCAATCGGAGAGAAATCACACTGCCTGTTCAGAATCCCAAAACGCAAACCCGTCCGCGTCCTTCAGTCTGTCTGTGTCATTTGGTACAGCAAGCCACTTCAGCATTTGTGACTGCACCCACACTGGTCTAAGCATGCCGAGTTTTCTGTAGAGATGATATGTAGTGCAGAGTGAATGCAATGAGTGATGTACCAAATAGTCCTCTGTGCCTCTCTTCAGCAGCACTTTCCCCACTGAATAACTAGGGTGAGCGAGGGGACGAAACCCAACCACAGGTGGTCACTTGAGAGGAGTCTGATAAAATATGCACAAATACAGTGAGTCCCAGCCTCCTGTGGCTCTGTTTTCTACATTTTACATGCACTTTATGGTAACTAAGCAGACATGGACCGCTGTCAGATGCCACCCTTCATCACGTCCTGCAAAACACACCAAAGCCGGCCTGATGTGGCAATGCCACTTGGGATAAAAGAACACGAGAGGAAGGGATAAGTAGTGGGGTTGCAAGAATAACATTTTTTTTTTTTTTTTTAAAACGCCATACAGCCACAAACAAGCCACACACTGTGCTCTCACCTCCGCGTCCACCGTTCCTGGACGAGCCTCGGCTCTGTGTGTCCTCCCAGCCTTCCCAGTATCTCCCCACACATCCTCCCATGGTTTGAGGGCTGCTGATCGTTCCCACGCGTCGTACTAGCTGAGGAGGGGGCCCATCGTGGAGGAAGACGATGAACTAGGTCCGGTGAGGAAGAGGAGGGGCAGGAGGGTCGCAGGTTCAACTTTGCAAGCCTGACAGACAGAGGGAGGACGCTGGGTGTTTGGTAGCGATGATGGTGGGTCAGTGAGCCGGTCCTCTCTTTATGTCTCAGCGTTGTTTGTGGTGGACTCGACCCCACGGGATTCAAAGCTCGTGGCCCGCACTAACGTTACATGAGTTTGATCGCCGAAGCAGCGAGCCACCGCAACATCTGCCCAAGCGTTTTTATCAATGTTAGGATATACGCGGCGACATGCCACCTCTCTAACCCGCTGGTTGGAAGTGTTGATGCCCAGCGGTCTAAACAGCGCACCGTCCCCGCTAACAGGCTAACAGGGCCACCCAGCTAGCTACCACAACATCAGTAAACACAAACTTCCACTCGCACTCGTGATTATTTCCCCAGACGTTGAGTTTCTTCCGACGAGCAGTGGATAGTTACACTTTCCCGCAATCCACGGTGCACCGCTTCAGTTCTTTGACGCTGTCTCCCGTTTGTTTTTCTTTAAATCCCCCAAATGTTACTTCCCTCTCTGCTGGTGAAAGGTGACTAGCGGCGGAGCTAACGCCACCGAACTTTTTTACGCCTGCGCGTAAGCACGCAGTCAGGTGTTGGGTTCTCTTACGTCAGGAAGAAAAGCAATTATGAATGGACGAGACTGAAAATACATTCGACACCGGCGGAGGTATCATATGGTTGTTATGTACAGCCAGCTACTATGTTTCTTGTTTTAACTAAATCGTTTTAATGACACTGGTAGTAGTTCGTTTTGAAATTAAAACAGTTAAAAAACGCAACGCCTCAGTGAAAGGGGACACGGTGTACATTACAGAGAATGCCCCTTTGCTCGGTTGTATTCTTTGTAGTGTATCGGAATTCGGACAGCACCTGAAGGCAGCACCACAAACTAAACATTGTAGTTTTTATTTCAACATTCAGCAAACGTTTACATTAAAAGCAACGCGCATGTAACGAAATGGTCACGATTTAACACTGCACTGTTTGTGAAAGGTCCTGTTTTACAAATGTTAAATTAATCACTTTTGCGTTTCACCCCCTTTTTCACCAACTTTTCGCGCATGCGTGGTGGGGTCAGTTGAGTTACAGGGCACGATGGCTGCGGACAGTGCCTTGCTGCTGTCTCTGGTGGAGGAATATGTCTCAGGACTACAGGACAGCAAGGCCAAAGATACAGCAAAAGGTAAATAAGTCTTCAGAGTGTTTTCCTCGACACTCTTTCAGAACAGGTCGTTGCGAATAAAACGCTGCTGAGCTACCGGTGCAAAGGATGCGCAACACGGCATGATGGTTAACTAGCTAACTTAGCGCCACAACATCCTGTGCGGTGTGATAATCGCATGCTACAGAAGAAAATAACACACACGTTGTGACACCGGACTGCTCGTTTTAACACAATACCAGCACGAACTGAACGTATCCCTAGCGTTTTATTGTGCTGTCATTCCACCAGTAATGTGAAATTTGAGGCTAGTCATCGCATGTTTGAAGCTAGCTGCTGTGTTAGTGTCCCAATGAAAGCATCCTGTCAATGAACTGTGGACCTCTGAACACCGCAGATACTGCTCGGTAAACTGTAGTCACTACTAGAGATAACTTAGTTATGTGCATGTGTGTTCTGTCTGTTTTCCTCTGTGTGTTTGCAGTCTGTTCACTAAACTTGGCTCTTTGTTCAGGTGTCAAAGATGGACAGTTTACAGTACTGCAGCTAGTGGAAGCACTGGGGTAAGATATTACCATGTCTCTAATATCACAGCCATAACATGAACAAAACAAAAGCGTGTTTATACTCTCATTTCATTTTTTACTGAGGAGTTGTGGTTAGTGGTGGAAGTTATGAGGTTACAGAAGCAGGTTTCACTCTAATATATAAATATATCATTGTCACCCAGACAACAAGTGTTTCTTTCTCATGCATTCTTATTAATTCATCATATATATCATAAATATCTACACTATATTAATCATATATTAAAAAAAAAATTAAAGGTATCAGTTAAACTTTTTGATTGAATATGTAATGATATTTAACATTTTAATTTCCTGTTTTAGACTGAGTCTGACCAGCTCTCAGCCTCACACTCGTGCCAGAGGAGTGCAGCTTCTCTCTGAGGTTTTACAGGAGTGTTATGGAGGTCTTACTGAGAGAGAAGGTACACACATTCTCTTATATTGTGTTAAAAAAATATATGCAAGAGTGGTATTTTGACAGACTGACTGATGTCTCGCTGTCTTTATTCTCCACAGTGGAAGTGCTCATCGCCTTCTATGAAAACCGCCTAAAGGACCATTACGTCATCACGCCGCCTGTTTTACAGGGGCTCAGAGCGCTGGTGAGTGTCTGTCTGTGATAGACTTTCAGTGACAACAACATCTCATAACATCCTGCAAATGATTAACTGACCGCAAAGCTGGCAAGTTAGTGTCTTCAGGTTTGAGTATCATGTTGAGAAGTTCCAGATGTGATTGCGGTAACCAACGTGCGTGTTTGTGCTTTTTGTTTTTCTAGACAAAATGTACGGTGTTGCCTCCTGGCTCAGCCGTGTCCATGCTGAGGTCTTTGTTCCAAGATGTTCATGTTCAGGTGAGACTCGACACTGTGTTATAATAAAGATGTTAAGGCTGTGGTAAGTATGTTATTGTAAGAGGACCCTGAGCGTTTCGTGTGAGGCATAAATAAAACAGTGGGTCTGAGTTAAATCCAATACGTACTTCATTGCATTAAGTAGCATCATGTTGTTTATTTGTGTCGATCAAAGACAAGTAATGAACAAATGAGTTAGCCTACAAGTCTATTATTCATCTGCTGCCAGATGTTAAAATGCTCGACTGCAGGTTGTCATTCAGTGATGTGAGAGTGTGTGAAAATGTTCTTGGTTCCTCCATGTTAGGGTTAGGGTTTCACTTTCTCTTATATTAACTGTGCTTTTTAGGTAAACTTGACTAATCTAAAGTGTTCATAAATGTAGGCATTGTGGGCAAAAAAAACTCATAGGGTCTGTTTATTTTTCTCCAGTCTTTGATGCTGGCAGAGAGAGCTTGTGTCTACCACATGCTCATCAACCTCATGGAGACCAGAGAAGCCGGTAAGAGACTTGAGTCTGATTCACAGTGAATAGAATAAGACAGCAGCGTGTCCCCACAGTGACTCAGAGCTCTGCTGAAAGAAAAATAAGGTTCTGTGTAGGGATGCACTGATTTCTTGCCTGATATTTGCCTTGTTGACTGACATCGGCCTATTTTCAAATAAACAGGCATTCAGCGATGTCAGTGGCTGATGTTTATCTGTTGTGTTGGTTGTTTCTAACTCGGATCTTGGAGAGACATTGGAGTATCGCTAATGACTATCGCCTTGTTTGCCAAATAGTTATCAGTGCACGTCTAGATCTGTGTTGAAGACGGTGATTCAAAACAGTAAGGTGTGAGTCAGAATTCTGGACAGTTGGCTGACTTACCACTGTGGTTATTTCATACCTCAGGGAAGTTAAACTCTTACCATCCCTGGAATAAAGGAGTTGTCACATGCTCTTCTGCTTTATATGGCAGTTGAATGATTTTGCATCTTTATGTAGACTTACTGTGTAGGATGCAAATTGAAGGCTGCCAGTGAAGTGTTTGTGTGTGGCTTCTGGTAGTTACTATGAACACACCAGCATGTAGGCTGACCTGACCTCTCCCTACTTTGTGCTGTAGAAGAAGTAAACATAATAAAAGCACTTACATAACGGTGTATTTATTAATTAAATAAAAAATAAAAAACAAATATTTGCAGCTTGCTGGTCAGAGATTTACTTGCTGTTCCTTTATGGTCAGGCAAGATTAGATTACAATCATAGTTGTAGGCAGTGGTGGAAAGTAACTAAGTAGATTTACAAGTACTGTCCTTAGGTACAATTTTGAGGTATTTGTACTTTAATTTAGTATTTCCATTTTCTCTACTTTATACTTCTACACTACATTTGAAAGGCAAATATTCTGCTGCATTTATTTAAAATTTGAACTTGAGTTACTTGTTAATTTGCATGTTCAGATTACTAATACAAAATATAATTAACAAATAAATTATGATGCAATATAGATTCAAATAAAACTTTATTGATTCCCCAGGGGTACATTCATAAGATACCACTCAGATAAAGTATATGAAGTAGTTAAAATTAGGCCCACCTTTACCAGCTTTAACATTAAAGTGATGTACACAGTAATGTATCAATAATTATAATCTAATCATATATATAGTTTTTATATTGTCCATTCTGCATTATGAATACCTTTGGTGTTTGAAGTATATTTTGATGCCAATATTTTTCTACGATATTTCTACGACTTTTAATACTATTGAGACTTTAAGATTTACAGGATCTGAATACTTCTTCCAACTCTGTTTGTAACCAACCCCCTACATCCAAACAACCATAACAACTTGTCAGCCATTATACAGAAACTGTGTATTCCTGTTTGTCTCTTTCACAGAACTAAAGGGTTTGGGCGCAGACTTTGTGTTTGGTTTCGTCCAGTCAATGGACGGAGAGAGGGATCCTCGCAACCTCCTGTTAGCCTTCCAGGTTGCCAAGAACATCATCCACCGAGGTTATGAACTAGGTACACATACAGCATTTTTCTTTCTCTTTGTTTCTGTCCCTCTATTCAACCTTTTTTGGACCTCTTTGTCACTATCCATCACACAGTTGAAGCATGACTCCTCTTTGCTTCCCGTTTATTTGCGGTCTGCTTGCAGGTAAATTCACAGAAGAGCTGTTCGAGGTGACGTCCTGCTATTTCCCCATCAACTTCACCCCTGTAAGTCTGTTTACTCAGCTGCCTTTGCCTGAGAACTGATGAAAGCAGAGAGGGCAGCAGACAGAAATGTCATCACTGACTTCCTGTGACCTCAGGGGAACTCTGTATGAAACAATAATACTGCCTCCTCATCTGCTCACAGACATTTCCCTTGTTAACGTCGTCTGTTGACTTTGGAGCAAAGCAGCACATGGCCACAGTGCTAATAATGTTGGTTTTAGTGTGACATAAACACCACAACATTTACCAGATAATAATGAGACAAGCTTCTAAATAACTTGTAACTCTTTCACATTAGGCTGGTTTGGTGTATGGCGTTTTGAACTGAAAGTATGAATTGAACTATGGCAGTAGGAGTCATTTTGTATGTTCAAATTCAACCAGAAAGTGAAACCATAAACACTAATTAAGATGCCCCAAATTCATTCTGCTTGAAATTTCCTGTAGCACACATTTCCAAATAACACAAGAACTCTCCATGGGAACCCAGAAACAGTTTTCCCTTTGGCATGAATATATGAAATTAATCTTTAAACCTGCATCAATGACTGACTGACTACTGACTCATGTTAGTTATTCAGTTAGAATTAGACTGATATAACTGAGAAGTCTAGTCTTACTGCTGCTGTTTGACAAAATGTGAATCAATGAGATGACATTACCAGTGTAACTAATTGTTAGCCTACAGAAGACTGTTTGCATCGCAGCCACAGTCTTTATAAACATAACATACCTGCAGAACCTCTCATTGGTGATCTGTCAACATGTATAGGCACATTTATGATTTCTTCTTCTATGATCTTCTTGCCTCACCTTCATCTCCCCCATACGCACCATCAACCCACCACAGCCTCCCAATGACCCCCACAGCATCACCAGGGAGGAGCTCGTCCAGATGCTGAGGGACGTCCTCACTGGGACGCCACAGTTTGCTGAGGTAGACTATTTACATGTAGCTTTTTGGTGCGACGGATATTGGACATATTTTTTCGGTGAGGGCCTAAATAGAGTTTATGTTCTGTTACAGTTTCTGTTACCTCTCATCATTGAGAAGCTGGACTCAGATGTTCTGAGTGCAAAGCTGGACTCGCTGCAGACTCTGGTGAGAAATCTTAATTGTTTTTGTTTTTTTTAAATGTGCCTCTGATCTTTTGAGTCTAATGGGTTAGGCATTTAAACATTTTCCAGCTCATGTTCTCAGCTGCAAGAAGTCTGTAAGTGTGGATGATATACAGCACAGTTGATGTTCCCTTAAGCAACGCAGTCACTGATGACAACTACAGTGAAGCTGCTGAGAGGCCCAGAGCAGGCAGGGGGGGGGGGTTTATGTATAACCTGGTTTCTTATTTCACCACACTTTATATTTTTCAGACTGCTTGTGTGTCACAATATGAACATAAGGACTTGGCAGAGTTCCTCGAGGGACTGTGGGTGTCACTGCGCAGAGAGGTTTGTTTGAGACAAATATAAATGAAAACAGTAATAGTTCTTGTTGTTTTGACTGATGCGTGTATATTGCGTCTAAGCTTTGTATGGAAATTTATGCTGTGGATGAAAAAAGTGTTTTCATCCACTCCACCCTCAAAAACAGGAAGCATCTTTAAGGCTGGGTTCACATCAACCGACTCTGTATCTCTGCAGTGTTTACTCTATTAGTTTATGTTGTTTGTCCAGTATAAACCATGTCATTTGAACTCTAAATTATGGCTCTGAACAGACATCTGGACATGAGTTTGACTCTTGTAGCAAAAGAACTGATGGATGGTTCATCAGAAATGAGAATGTAACAGAGAGCATCTGAAGCAAATGAGCCAAAACACAATGCTTTATGGGAAGAAAGAAGCAAATTCTTCCAAGAAAAACATAGTGAGGTCTGGACCTATCTCTGTTTATCTTGTTCTCTTAACCAGAGTAGAGACAAATTAGCCATGCTCCAGGTGCTGAAAACACTTTCTAAATTTAAAAATCAAAAGTAAACTGTTGATGTGATTGCCTCTTAGTGAATCTGAAGAACAAACTAATGACAGATGTTCCCCCCTGGTTGCTTCGTTGCAGGTGTTTCAGACATCTAGTGAGAAGATTGAGTCTGCTGGCCTCGCTGCTCTTACCGCACTCACTTCCTGCCTGTCTCGCTCAGTCCTTAACTCTGACTCTGAAGACTCCCTCTGCACCTTCCTGGATCTCGTTCTCAAAGGTGAAACGCAGCTTATCTGCACATGAAAAACAATGCACATTTCATTGAAAGCATGTTCAGTTTTATTAAAACTCAAGTTGGATGACACAAAAACAGCAGCATGGGAAGACTTGTTAAATAACTGCATTTTGTGTAGATTGAATTGTTCAACTAAATATGTCTGTGAGAGCTGTGGTAATGGGAGGGTTTACTGCAGTGTAGCACTGTTTAAGTAGCTGAGCAGGAAATCATACCACAGTGCCTGTTCAGTTCTTTATTGTAACCAACTGCTCATACAGTTAACATGACATGTCAGCAGTGTAACACATACAATGTTTCCCTCAGATGATTATTAGTTTCCTGCCAAAGTGCACTAGAGTTAGGGAAACCTACCAACCAGTATCGACTTGTATATTTAGGTCATCTACATATAAGTGATTATATTAACACTGGAATTTGACTAAAATGTTTAAAGGCTAAAACCAATATGAATATTTTAGACTGAATAGTTTGGCTGATATATGCCACAGTTAGTAAATCTGATCCTCCACATCTCTAAAGACATACACAGGAATTGTTGTGTCCATGTTTGTCTCTTTAGGGTAAAAAAGTCAGTGAAACAGCACGAGACACAAATAAATGAAACCAGTGTCTTTTAGTGCTCCTAATACGCCTTAATATGTTACTGAAACACTGCGAAACCTGTCCAGTCATCTTGTTTTGTCTTTACTGAAAGTGAGCTGTCGTTCCAGACTGCAGACATCACCTATGTGAGCCGGACCTGAAGCTCGTGTGGCCCAGCGCCAAGCTGCTACAGGCCGCCTGCAGCGCCTCCAGCAGGGCGAGCCACATCATAACATCGGCTGTCATGCCCTCTCTCATCGAGCAGTACAACAGCAAAACAGAGGTAAATGGCTGTTTGATGGTGGGTGTTCTTAAGGCCTGCACATCAAGTCCGTATTTTCTGTATGCGTTTTTTAAATCCGTCGTCGGATTAAATTTGTTTTGCATAGAAACCTTGAACACAGAGCCTGATGCGTTTTCTTACTCTGTTCGTTGAGAAATTCATAATGCGAGACAGAGTCGTCATGCAATGAGGAAGATTTTAGGGTCCTCTCACTTGAAAGTAGAAAAAGGAAAAGCAGTTGGGTCCAAGGTGTTAAGAACACGGAGAGTTTCGCCCCTCTCTGCCCGTGTCTTACACTTAGCGCCGCAGTCACACGAGGCTGAACCCTCTCTGTCTGTCCGCTGTCGCTCTCCCTGCTGTCTGTGTGAAAAAAACGCAAAGAAGGTAACCTGTTCCGGAAGTTTTGGAGTCTGTGTGTAAACATTGACACAACAGGAGGTTGTATTTATTTTTAAACGTGCAGCAATTTTGGACGGCAAAAACAGACTTGGTGTGCAATGGCCTTTACTCGTGCTGTTGCTGTGTTGGAACATCTCGACCATATGTTTGAGGTTATTCTCTTTCAGTTTCATTCCCATATTTATAAAATCTGTCAGTCAGAATTTGTATGTCATGCGTGACTCTGTCTCTTTGTGCAGTGTTCCCACAGACGAACATTACTGGAGGTGGTGCAGCGTTTTATCCAGTCAGTAAAAACCTGCCAGTCTCCAGAGAATGGCAAGTGCTGTTTATTTATTTACTTATTTACTTCAGCACATCATATTCACTCCAGACGGCTCATGTGTGACATCCTTCACTTACAGCTGCATCTTGTTCCACTTTAACAACAATAAATAATGACACAAATCTTCAGAGAATACTACAAATTACACATTTGTTTCAGATGTATGTTTATACTGTGGTAGTCAAAAAGGAACTTCAAAAAGGATTATATGCCCTTCATAAACAAAAAAAACCAAATACCCTTACTGTGTTTAGGGGCTGTTTGTACATAACCATGGAGACCAAAGACAAAAACCTCAGATTTGAACTTGTTTGTCTCTCTGTCTCTCT